CACAGAAGATCCCATAAATGATGTGCAAAACCAGATTTTCCAGGCTGAGCAAATAAAAGTTGTGTGATGACGTGGAATTTGAAATAAGAAGACAAAAATTGAATTCTCAACTTGCCACCAAATAGTTTTATAACCTCAAATTAGACATTTAATTTCTCTGAACTTCTGATCCCTTATGCACAGAATTGAAATAATAAAACTAGCTTCAGCAGTGCTTTGTTAGAAACAAATTAGGCCATAGATGAGAACATTCTTGTACTATACAGCTTAATTGTCCACTTTTACAAGCAGTCTTACACAACACATTTATTATGCTTATGACCATTTTTCAGTAATTTGAGACAGCATTAGGAGCATTGTACTAGAGCCATTTATGAAACTTTCAGGTGGAGAAACATTAAATGTTGAATGTTTCAAAGTCAAATGCGCTTTATTGTGGTTCCTGGGAATAAGATAAGCTTTTAGAAAATGACAGTAGAGTAATTTTTTAATTGAGTTGCTGTAATAGAAGGGAGAATAATGCTTTGTGTTTCTTCAATACTGTTTTGCAGAGTCACTAAGATGTGTACAGTAATTAGTGGACACTGTGCACACTTACTGATCACAATGAGGTTTCATATTTATATTTTACTTAAGTGCTTCACATTTGTTATCCTATTCAATCCTCAAAACTTATAAAGAAACTCCTTTATTTTCCCTATTTCACAGGTGAGAAACTAAGGCATAGTATGGTGGTGTAACTTGCCCAAAGTTCTTACATGACTTTTAGGGGGTATTAGAGGTAAAGATTTCATGGCCTCTTTGGTTGCCAATTCTAACATTTAAAAATCTCTACACATCAATAGGTTACCTCACCTTCATGCTTCATTGCACTACTCCTGTTATTAATTATTTTCATTTGTAAACTTTTATTCTCAGCACTATGATTCATCCTGACTCTTCCCAGTAAATACTTCTGGACATAGTGCTTCCCCAAGAAGAATTCCTTCCAGATATAAATTTCCTGTGTTGTGGCTAAAGAAAATGAAACAAATTGCAATTACTCACTTGCTCATCAAAGTTCAAGATGTATCCAAACTAGGATTAATACTGAATGAATTGTTTATTGCCTTCATTGGGAAATCTGGAGCACAAGGCTATGGGACGTCACCAGCTAATCCATAGTGAAAGCTAGATTGAGAGACTGGTTAAATATAACTACTTTCTATTCCCTTCAATCTCATTTCACTATTATTGCAAATATCAAGGGCAATATCACTGTTTCCATTTATAACCAATACTTTAAAAAAAATCTCAGTGTACGAACTGAAATAAAATAGAATGAATACATGGCCTAACATTAATCTTCTATGTAAAATGATATATTCATTCAATTAACATTTGCTGAAGATCCTGTCTGGGCTAGACCCTGGCAATACAAAAAAGAAGAGCACAGTTAGCATGGTTTGAGGTCTGAAGACTTTCTTCTAGATGGAAAAACACTGTGGTGTGCTTACAGATGTTAAGTGTATCAGAGAAGACATTCCAAGGAGAAGAAACACTATGCATGAAGGCCTGGGGATCTGACAGAGTCTGATAGCTTTTATCTTATTTGGGGGGGAGATATACCTCTTTTATTTATTTATTATTGGTGCATTTACATAAGGTTTCCTTTCCTATTGTGGAATTGGTACCTGTACATAACACACCTCAATTCTTTTTACACCCCTCCCACTTCCCTCCATCTCCTGATCCCCTTCTCATTTGAGAAAGATCTACCTCTCTACTTCCTATTACCTATCTTTTTATTTTGTTCTTTATTTATAATTTGAGTTTTTCATACAAGAGAAATAATGTGGTATTTAAGCTTGTGTGTCTGATTTATTTCAATTAACATTATGTTCTCAAGGTGCATTCGTTTTCCCATAAATGACTCAAGTTTATCTTTCTTTATGGTAGAGTAGTACTCCATTATACATAAATACATTTTCTATATCCATTTTGTTGGTGGACATATATGCTGCTTCCAAGATATAGCTACTCTGAATTGTGCCGATATAAACATGGGTGTGTGTTTGTGTAGATAATAAGAAATGAGATTGCTTATAGGGTTTATCTCTCATCATGTAGGTAATGTGAGACACTGTAACATTTTGTTCTTGCAAAAATAATTCTAGTGCTAGTCTGAGGAATGGGATGGGAGGCACAAAAACTAAAGGCATGGAGATCAGTTAGGAGGTCATAACAGGCATGTGATGATGAGGGCTTGATTGGGGGCAAGAATAGTGTGAATGGTGGAAACTGGTTGGTAGCAAAAGATTTATAGGACACAAAAACAACAAAACCTGTAAGTGATTTTTATACGAGTAGGTGAAAGATGATGTCCCTTCTCTGAGATTACTCTGTTTCTGGGTAATGGTTAATGTTATTCACCTGGGAGTCTGAAGCGATCTGAGCATAAGGTAGAGTTGAGGCTACTGGAGTAATGATATAAACCAAGATGAGTCAATAGATCAAGTATTGCATGCCAGATAAATATCATAAATAAGTGAGGGTTAGTAGAAAAACTACTGTGTAGGCAAGCAGAAAGCGTGAGAAGCTGGTGATCCCATGTCCTAGAGGGTACCACATACCATTACAGTTTATAATAATGTATTTTATACTTGAAATTTGCTGAGAGTAGATCTTACACATTCTGAGCACACACACGCACACAAAGACAACTGTGGGATAATTAATATGTTAAATAATTTGTTTGTGGTGAATTTTTTATAAATATAGGAAGCATCATCAGATTGTACTCCATAAATGTACACAATTTGTAATTGTTAATTATTCTTCAATAAAGTTATGTTGGTGGAAGTGAGGGGAAAGAGCCAATAATGATGCCCTGGGAAACATGACATGTATTTGGTGGATTGAGTTTTAAGTGGTGTAATTTTGAGTTAGCAGTAAGCGTGAGGATAAATAGGAGTAGATCAGGCTAAGAAGGCTCCTCCTCCCCAAAACAAAATCCCAAATCTCCCCTAAATAGGAGTTGTCATCATTTATCTCTTTTTAATCTTCTTCCTATTGCTTCTGAATACTATCTTCATTCTATTTTTTTATACTGAACCCACTGTTTCCAAATTCGTGTGATTTCTTTTGGGTGAACTTCCTTTAATGTGGATTCTGGTCACATTTATGGAATAATTGGATCAAATTCATCCACCTGTTCTAACAATAAACAATTACTCTTCTTATAGATTACCTCAGTTTCACAAGATGTAAGCCATCCTGGCCAACAAAAGGTACAAAGGTAAAAGAGGATTCACAGCATATCTCAACTTGGGAGCACAGTGTTTAAACAGATGGTCTTCTTTCTGCAGATGTTCCTCTTCCATTATGACAACAGATCAAGTCCTCATTGGTGTTGCCAAATGTTGCCTGATTTTCTATAAATTTGCCTCGTTGCTATTTTGCAGTGTTGTCTAGTCACAAGGGTTTTTAACCACATGAAAAATTTAAAACTATCTTAGTAAATGAAACAAATATTTGGGAAATAGATAAACTCAGATGCTTGTTCAAAAACAGTTACTATGATATAATCTTCACTGTCATTTGTTGAATTTTCCTTCTTTTGGAGGACTTTGTTAGTTGTTTGACACATTTTACTGTGCTGATTTCACAAAAATAACATTGATCTGGTGTATAAAGTTGGAGCATTTCAAAGGTGTGTATTTTTAAATTATGTTTTACATTCTGGAAATGAATTTGTATTCATCTATTGATGCTTCTTTCCAGTGATTATTTGCAGTGTTATTGTAGGATTGAAAATATTTTCTCAATATCATCATTTCACCTTATTTATTTGACAAGAGCAAGTTCATATTCTAATATATGACCTGACTTAGGAACTTTCCCTTAAAATATAAATGTTTAAGTGATGGACGTGCTAATTACTGTGATTTCAATATTACATAATGTATACATGACTAGAAACATCATATCATACCACTGATTGTGTATCAAGCAGAAATAAAATTTTAAATATGCATAGCTGTCTGTGCACTAAAAAATTCAGAAATAATTTTTTTAACTGCATGTTTTTTTCTTCCTTTCCATGTTGATTTCTGTTGGTCTGTTATATATCTGGCATATAATACACATGGGAATGCAATGTTGGAAAACTCATGTGAATAACTGCACAGCATTTAAATAGTGCATGGCGGACAGCCAGGATGTAACCCATGGCAAGTGTTGTTCCTTGTATACTCAGCGTCATTAGCCCTCTTACAAGACTGAATTTTGTTGTTGAGCCCCGGAAGATAAGTCATAAAAGGTCTAGACTCTGAACTAATCATTGTCATTTCATCCCACTTTGCCAGTGATTGGTCTGGGTGTGAACATCTGGAACTTGGAACTTAAAATGGTGGGCTGGAGATCCAGAGTCCTCTGGAAATTGTTTTTTCTCACATGATAAAAGGCTCTTTTCTTCTCATCTACTTTTCAAGCTTTGGATTCTCTCATATGAGGGTTTAATGGTTAGATCTGCAGCAAATGTTTTGTAACACAAAGGAAATAGGAGAGAGAATGAAATAGAAAGACAATGTCATGCTAAAAAGGGTGGTTCTGCAGGTGATCAGATTCTGGGTCTGTGACATCATTGATCTACTGCAGCAAACCTTAAACTATAATTCTTTGTACTTGTGTTAAGAAAATTATTAATAGAACACAATAAAGACTTTATTTTCCTTACAATAAAAAGCATTTTTTCTGGTATATAACCACTCAATTTCTCACTAAAATGCCAATGATGGTACAGAAAAAGTATTAGTAATTCAAAATAACAGCAGAACCTTCGCCATTACCCTTTCCCTTTTATTATTCAATTCGCAAGATGTCTCTTGAATGTCAGAAGAAGAGAAAGCCTGTTAAAATTAAGCAGGACTTGTTTCTCCCAAACTTGGACTTATTCCTCATATTTTAAAGAAGAAAAATACCTAATTGGCATGTCTTTATGTCCTGCTTCTCTGTTTCAGAGGCCAATGACAATGATGGAAGGATCAATTTTGAAATCTTTACAATGTATTCCTCTTTTTGTCACCATAAAAACTTACTATCTGAAAAATTATTCAGGAAAGCACCACTGTATTGGAAAGGCTTAAATCAGCTTCCTCAATGATGACTCAGGCTTCTAAGATCAAGACATGGTAAGTAAATATCAGTCAGGCTAATATACAATCCTTTTGGCATCCTATCTTGGTTTAAACATCCTGTAATGACTAAACATCATAATTCCTTTGTATAAATATTAAAACCACAAACCAACCATGGTAGTGCATGCCTATAATCCCAGCACTCTGGGAGACTGAGGGAGGAAGATTGCAAGTTCAAGCCTAGCCTAGGCAGTTTACCAAGACCTTGTCTCAAAAAAAAAAAAAAAAAGAAAGAAAAGAAAAAAAGGGGGGTATCTGGGGATGTAGCTCAATATGAAGGTCCTAGATTCCTAAATTTAATCCCCAGTACTACAAAAAGAAAAAAAAATCCAAACCACAGCAATAAATGTGACCAATGAATTATTATGTGTCACTTGAATTCACAAAGTTATAATTTACACAGAAAGGTAAATTTCCATTTTAAGCTACTTGCATTATCTTATGAGCACAAGTTCAAATATTTATTTTTTAAAAGCAAAGTCATCAGATAAGTGCAGTGACACATTCCTGGAATCCAAGCTACTCAAGAGAAAAGGGCTAGGGATGTAGCTTAGTGGTAGAGCAGCTCTGGGATCAATCCCAGGCCCTACAAAGCAACAACAACAATGATAATAATATATCAAGTATGTTTATTCATATGCATCCTTCCAAAAATAGAATATATAGTAAAAACATTTGTGGAATATTTTTTACTGTAGAAAACATATAGAAACTATAGAAAAATCAGGACCTCATGGCACAACAGTAGTGCACCTGACTCCAGAAACTATAGAAAACTTTTATAGAGGCCCAGAAAAACAGAAGTGGTTTTTAAATATACAATTTAAATACTATGTACTATTCTAGGTGCTAGTACATATGTGTAATATGCAGGGAATTTTGTCATTTGCTCATTAAACAAACCATTATTAACTAACAAAACTCATTTTTATATAGAGAGTTAAGGTCAAATTAATAGATTTTTTAAAACCAATATGAAAATTATAACCTCTTCAAGTGAACTTCTGATCCACAGAAAATGTACCTACATTTTCTTTCTCTCTGAACACACCTCCATTCATGAAACACAATCCTCCCAATACTCTGGAGAGCCACATTCCCACTTTAGGTTATGATTGACAGATTTTACACTGAGTCCTAAAATTTTTAAGGAGGTGTCTATAGTCATTCACATTTCTACATTTTATTTCTTCCTTTTTGCAAAACTTGGACTGTGAACTTGTGGATTTTCTTTGGGAGCATGACCTTTCTGAAGTGCAATTATTATATAGAAAATGATCATGGGTATGAAAAAACTTTTAATCATAAAAGTTCAAAAGTTATGGTATCACTCAGCTTTTCTGATTATTCTTTTTAGCCAAGGCAAAAGTCTAAACTGGACAATTTAAATTACTTTATCATGTATATCCTCTGAGTTAGGAGCTGTGTGTATTAGTCTGCTTTCCTGCTACAGGAACAAAATACCCAATATTTACAATTTAAAAGAGGAAAGGTTTTATTTGGCCTACGGTTTTGGAGGACTCAGTCCATGGTTAGCTGCTCCGAGGCAGAAATGGCATGGTAAAAGAGCATGGAAAGATGCTCTCCTTATGACAGCCAGGAAACAGAGAGACAAGAAAGGAGCCAGGGAGGGTGACATATCCCCAAATGACATTTTTTTTTTCTTGATACCAGGGATCGAACTCAAGTCCTTATGCTTGCAAGGCAGGCGGCAGAACCACAACCACTGAGCTAAATCCCTGGCCCAACCTATCTCTCTCTTTGTTTTTTGATGACACATTTGTTCTAATCAGGGCCCCCTTGCTAAAAGCACACTTAGCTATAAACTTATTAATGAATCAATCCACTGATTAACACAGTGCCCCAGTGATCCAATCACTTTCTAAAAGCTTTACCTTTGAGCACGTGAGACTTTTGGAAGACATCCTAGATCTAAATAATAGCAAAGGAGATTCACATTAGAAGAGATTAGAAATCTTATATAATTATTAATGCATACTAGTTATACAAATCAATGGGTTTCACTATGATACTTCCATACATGCATTGTCGTGCTTTGATCATGATAATGTTTACCTTTCCTTCCGTCCTCTCTTACCTTCCCCTCTGTCCTCACAGTTCTATAGTTACAGGTCATAAGTCTTTGATTTACTTTGGGTTGACTTTGTGAGACATATGGGTCTAGTTTATTTCTGTGTCCTCTATTTTATTACATTGAGACACCTGTCTCGTATTTTGTTGTCATTGTTTATTTGGTTTTCTTTTCTTTCTTTTTTTTTTTGGTGTTTGCCGGTAGCATTCTATTTTTGTTAGTATGACTCTGTAATACATTTTGAAATAAGATATTGTGTTGCCTCTAACTTTGCTCCTTTTTCAGAATTGCTTTGACTATTCAAGGTCTTTTGTGCTACCATGTGAATTTTATGAATTTTTTCTAGTTCTGTGGAAAATACATTAGTATTATGAGGAAGACTGCATTGAACCTGTAGTTTACTTTGCGTAGTATGGTCATATAACTATATTAGTTCTGCCAATGAGATCTTTCCATTTTCTAGTGTCTTCTTCAATGTATTTCTTCAGTGTTTTATAATTTACATTTAGAGATATTTTTATCTTTTTGGTTAGGTTTATTCTTTCTTTCTTTCTTCCTTTCTAACTTTTTTCTCTTGAGGCTATTATGAATGGAATTGTGATCTCAAATTCTTTCCCAACAAGTTCATTATTTGTTACAGGGAAGTTACTAATTTTTGTAAGTTGATTTTGTATCCTGCTACTTCACTAAATTTGTTACTTAAGTCTTTCTGTAGAGTCTAGGTTTGTTTTTTGTTTGTTTGTTTGTTTTGCTAGTTACACAAGAGTCACTGATCCTTGCTTTATTCACAGTATTATCCAAAATTGGGAATCCCGTGGTGTAGATTAAAATAAGGAAAGTGGTCATAAACAGCATCCGGGCTCATCATGGCAGTGGTGGCAACTCAACCAGTATGGAGTCTTCTAAGGAAGACCTATTCAATTGAGGGAAGGCTCCCTCTACCACTTGACAGCCCAAGTACTTGACAAAACTGGCCTATATTAAAGGTCACAGTGATTAAAAACAATGTGGTGAAGACATTCAGGGCTGAGTGACTGTTGCTAAGCCACTTAGTGTGAACAATGCGGCACCAAGAAAGGGAGAAGCACTGTGTATGCCTTATCCTAAGCAGGTGCAAGCAAGGCAGATCACCGCACAGACCTACGAGACAGCCTTCTCCCCTGGGTTCCAATAAAGAATACCTTTCCAGCCAAGTCATCAAGAGACAGACATGGAGGCACCAAAACACCACACAAGCAACAGCATCTCTTGGTTTCTCAATAACATTCAAAGTTATTTTAGTACAGAAAATAGAAAAGCATTTGTGGTAGGGGCTTTTCAACCCAAAAACACAAGGTTGGAGAAAAAAAAAGCTTCTTCTAGTGTCACCATTTAGACTTTCAGAGTTGTGTGTCCTGCACACACTATACCATTTCATCACCAAAAGTCACCCAACTAGTGTGTCAGTTACAAGACACAGAGGCCAAATAAGGAGGAAAACTCTGAGAAGGGTACCTAGCACCTTGTATTTCTCTCATGTGGACTGGTGGGCTGGTGGAGAGGTAGTAGCAACAATCCTCACATAAGAAAAAGAAATCAAATCTACGTAGTTATTCCACAGATAGTGAAAACAGGCAGTCGCCCAGATCTTATGTTCCAACCACCCTTTCATGGGAAGCCAGGTCTATGCTAGCCTTGTTATTTCAAAAGAAGCTGAGAAGGAAAAGTGGCTGCCCAATTGAAGTGCTTGCCAATAATCCAGTTTTTTCAGGAGAAAGGTACAGTGACCCCTCCAGAGCACAGGCACAAACTTGCTTGTGGCTGAATTCACTAAGCACATTTTTAATAAAGAAAACTGAAGGACAAACCAAATTGAAAGAATCACTGTTATAATAATTTTAATTTATCTTGCGTTTTACAGAAATCTATGAATGATTTTAGAAAAGCACCTCCTTACCCCATCTTGTTTCTCTGACAGTTGTTAAAGTAGGCAATAAGTATGTCAACAGCTTGAGCATCGGCAAGGATTTCAGATCAACCAACCACTCGTCAAAGAACTTGGCAGCTTTTCTATATCATGTTTTTAATACAATGATATATCCACTCTGATGGTAAACCTGTCCAGCCAATTCCTCAGAACATGCTTTGCAAAATCAGTGGTGATTAGCAAATTAGTTAGCTTTGGCACAGAGCTGTGCTCGTTTGCCTGTGACAGCCTGGAAGCCAGTTTTGATACTGGCAACACAGCATCGAGAATGACAAGTTTCACACTGTAAGAAATAGAGCCTGGTGTCCTTCTGCAGAATTGTGTCCTGTGATCGGCATGTGTGACAAGTGACATATTCCTTGATATATCTTCTTAAGACATTTTCTATCTGTTTCTGTTGGAATCTTCCTTTGATTACAAGTTGGTTTTACCATCTGTAGAACCACTTGTACCCAATTCTGCCAATAAAAATGCAAGAAGATGTTTGGGCTGACAATGTAATAGTTTACAGATATCTATAAGTTGACAAAAGAAGTTTTCTGGGTTCCTGCTTGGATGACCTGTGGAGATTTCATGACAAATTTTCTTTTTTCTCCAGCAACCATATCTGGATTCTTTTCCCTCATGATGTTGAACACTCGATTCAGTAGCTCTTCATATGTGTAGTCTCTCTCCGAGCCTGTCCAAGCAGGGCCTGTCTGGTTACTGAATGAGATAACATCACCTTTTTTTCTGTCTTCATCTTCTAAAGCTTCTTCTTTTTCTAGTATTTCATCCTCATCGGGGAACTTAACATTCTTCTTTTTCTTCTTTTTATTGCCAAGCATAATATCAAGGTCATCCTCTGGTTCAGCTGGCCCTTGGATATCTCTTTCAATCTTAAGATCCTTTATACCCTCTTCAGCTTCATCAATATCAAATATCTTTTCTGTTTTT